TATATTTCAAGAATGCTGGCTGAGCCAAGCTTTATGAAGTTTGGCGATCTTAATATGTCCTTTTCCTCTGCCAAACAGAGGAAGCCATTGGCTACAACAAACTACTCATGCAAGTTTGCTCTTGAAGCCATTATATTCAAGGAATTTATTTCTTCTATTTATGAAACATTAATCCTGTCTATTCCAAAAAATCATCCATAGAAACTTGATAAAATTGCCGGAGTATCCCTTCCCTCTGCCAGGACTCGACATAGGTCCCCAGCTGGCCCATTGTGGGTGGGCTTTTCTGGATTATAGGAGATCTCATGGTCAGGTGGTGTTCATGGTCACTTTATCTTTTTAAGAAAGTTACCAATCAACAAATATAGCTTATTTTTCAAGAGATTAGAAATAACCTTTTCTCAGTCAAGAAAAACCTAAAATCTAACAACCTCATGAAGCTTCAGAGTTCATGTATCACTCAGCAGTCACTGATGCCAAAGAGTGAAGACCCTGTCTCTTTACGATTAATCTTCTAACTACACGAATAACATTAAATAATTGGCTCAGATTTATACATGTGGCATTGTAGTTTCAAGATGAATATATATATAAAAAATTAGCTGGGTATGGTGGTGCATGCCTATAGTCTCAGCTACTCGGGAGGCTGAGGCAGGAGGATCGCTTGAGCCCAGGAGTTCGAGGTTGCTGTGAGCTAGGCTGATTCCACCGCACTCTAGCCCAGCCAACAGAGTGAGACTCTGTCTCCAAAATAAATAACTAAATAAAAATAAACTCATTTGTAACATTTGTCTCTTGTGTAGTTGCACTACCAAGTGGCTACACCAGTTCATTTATATCATGTCATGGCTTTCCAGTTTAGAGATTGCTTTTCAAATTTAATTTTGTTTTCTATTTATATAAATAAAATAGTTCTGTGGTTCTAAGGTCAAATACACAAAACAAGGTATATTTGTAGAAATCTGGCTTTTGTCCCTGTTGCCTTAACCCTGTTGCTTCCCTTTTAACCCCACAGGTAATTTTTTTCTTTAGTTTTTGGTTTATCCTTCTGTTTGCTTCTTTAAAATATAATCAAACGTGCAATATATTTATAGCCTACTCCCTTAGATAAGTGATACTATGCTATAGACTCTTTTTTCCACCTTGCTTTTTTTTTCTTTTCTTTTAATTGTTTTTTTTTTTTTAGACAGAGTCTTGCTTTGTTTCCCAGGCTAGAGAGAGTGCCATGACGTCAGCCTCGCTCACAGCAACCTCAAACTCCTGGGCTCAAGTGATCCTGCTGCCTCAGCCTCCCAAGTAGCTGGGACTATAGGCATGCGCCACCATGCCCAGCTAATTTTTTCTATATATATTAGTTGGCCAATTAATTTCTTTCTATTTTTAGTTGAGATGGAGTCTTGCTCTTGCTCAGGTTGGTTTCGAACTCCTGACCTCGAGCAATCCGCTCACCTCGGCCTCCCAGAGTACTAGGATTGCAGGTGTGAGCCACCGCGCCTCCTTTTTTGGTAGAGATGGCATGTCACAATTGCTGAGGCTAGCCTTGAACTTTTGAGCTCAAGCAATCCTCCCACCTCCGCCTCCCAGAGTGCTAGATTACAGGTGTGAGCCACCGCGCCCGGCTGATATATTACTTCTTAAGTACCCTTCCACTGCCTAAAAATCACCAACAATCCAATTTATATGGGAGGCTTTCAATCATAAGCTACTTGAATGAGAGGATACAATCTGGGAGGTTTTAAACCTATCTGAACATCAGAATCAACTGGTGCACCTGTTAAACACGCACACATTTCTGGTCCTCATCTCAAACCTTTCTTCTGAATCAAGAGAGCCAACTGTGGGCCGCTGCGGTGGCTCACGCCTGTAATCCTAGCTCTCTGGGAGGCCAGGGTGGTAGATAGCTCAAGGTCAGGAGTTCGAAACCAGCCTGAGCAAGAGCGAGACCCCGTCTCTCTATAAATAGAAAAAATAATTGGGCCAACTAATATATGTAGAGAAAAATTAGCCGGGCCATGGCGGTGCATGCTGTAGTCCCGCTACTCGGGAGGCTGAGGCAGGAGGATCGCTCAGCCCAGGAGTTTGAGGTTGCTGTGGAGCTAGGCTGACGCCACGGCACTCACTCTAGCCTGGGCAACAAAGTGAGACTCTGTCTCAGGAAAAAAAAAAAAAAAAAAAAGAGCCAACTGTGGAAGCTTGGAATATGTGGTTTCAAACAAACTTTCCGAATGATTCTGACGCTCAGCCTCACAAGTGAAAAGCAGAGAACTGAGCAGTGCTAGCCCACATGGAACATGAATTTTCTATAGTTTGCCTAGGCAGACAATATCACCATGTCTGTGGACAAATTTAAGTTGGTCATCGTCTGGGCACGGTGGAATCCCAGCACTCTGGAAGGCTGAGGTGGGAGGATTGCTTGAGGTCAGGAGTTCAAGACCAGCCTGAGTAAGAGCAAGATCCTGTCTCTACTAAAAATAGAAAAAAAATTAGCTGGGCAACTAAAAATAGAAAAAGTTACCCAAATGTGGTGGCACACTCCCGTAGTCCCAGCTACTCGGGAGGCTGAGGCAGAAGATCGCTTCAGCCCAGAGTTGGAGTTGCTGGTGAGCTAGGCTGACGCCACCGCACTCTACTCAGGGTGACAGAGTGAGACTGTCTCAAAAAAAAAAAAGAAAAACATTAAAAAAAAAAGTCGGTCTTGCGTTTCCCGGGTAATGACCCTTCATAACATCCCTGTCCCTGCTATCTACTCTTCGCACTCGATAGGTCCCCAGTCACTCACGCTGCTACCGGCCGGGTGGGCGGGAGAGATGGCGCCACCAGAAGCCGCCCGGGCCTCCTGAGGGAGGGAGAGGGCAGCTCGCAGGCGGAGGAAGACTCCGTGCGGAGCTTACCATGGCGAAGCCAACGTCTGCTTTCTTCAGGGCGGGCCCGTCATTCGTGCCGTCACCGGTGACAGCCACCACCTGCCGCTGCTCCCCCACAGTGCTGTCAATGATGCCTGGGAGAAACAGACGGGCGCCGCAGTGAGCCCGCGAGTGCCGCCAGGGGCTGCCGGGCAAGCAGCGTTCCGAGAGAGGCGCTTCTTTGGTGTGCCCACCCCACTCCAGGCAATCCCGCGTCCCAATCCCCCGTCCCCCTGCTTTCTCCTGTCCTTCTTTCTTCCTGATGCTACAGGTTCTAGAGCACGGGTCCTCAAACTTTTGAAACAGGGGGCCAGTTCACTGTCCGTTGGAGAGTGCGCGCTGTGGGCCCGGGACGAGCCGGCTGCTAAGCAGGACAGGCGGCGGCGGCAAAAACACCCGGCAGGCCGGATAAATGTCCTCGGCGGGCGGCATGTGGCCCGAGGGCTGTAGTTTGAGGACGCCTGTTCTAGAGAAACCGCCTGAGGGCAGCGAGTGGCTCCACGGGGCAGCACTCTGAGCTACACAGGGCTGTCCTCGTCTGGTGGCCTAAGGCAAGTGCCATGTGTAGGGGGAAAGCGCCAGGTGGACTTGAAGGCAGAGACCTGGGGTCACACTGCACCTCTTCTGCCCACCGGCCGGCCAGCTGGGTGTGTTACTGGTCTTCTCAGCTTCCCACTTCCTTATTTACACAACGGGCATAGTTTTACCTGCCCGGCCTACTTCTCAGCGACATTGGCCAACACGAAACGGTAATGTTCGAGGACGAGTTTATTGTATGTCATACTCACCCAGGGCTCAGACGTCTGCTAAGCTGCTTGTCCTCCCACTAGCCTGGCTGCTCTCCTGCGACCTGCCCGCTCCGGCAGGAGAGCTGCTCGGGCTGGCGGCTGTCACCTGCGCTTCCCCGGCCCGCCTGCGCCCGTGGCGGGGACGCACTGGGAGCCAATCTCACCTTTCACCAGGGTGTGCTTGTCAGTGGGGGACGATCGTGCCAGGACCCGGAGCTTGGGCCAGATCTCGTCCAGCTTTTCTTGCTCTACCTGCCGACACCAGACCACACCTGGATCAGTCAAAATCTTACTTTTCCACCTGCCCCGAACCACCGGGAGATCTGACACCCCACAGCCCCACGGGCGAGCCTTATCCTGGCCTCCAGGGGACATGAAACGGCCAGCTCAGTCTCCAGGGGTGAATTTACTGATGGTGGTCGTTCGGGCCCTTCTCCTTTTCTTTTTCCTCCCCGTTCCCCACCTGGGAGCCAAACCCCTGTTCTTACTCCCTCAACGGGAGGTGGGCTAGGGCCGTCGGCTGTGGGCTCAGGTGGCTAAAGTGGTGCTTCTGAGGTTTTAGGTGTGATTTCTGTGCAGACCAGGAAAGCTTTGGTCTCTCCATCCCCAGACACGGCCTCTGCTAGCCACCGCTGGCCACAGGGCAGTGACATAGGAGGGGTGGGGGAGGGGGAAATCGTCACTAAACCATCTCCTGACTGCAAAAGCAGAAAGACATGAGAAGTCAGTGACACTGTCTCAAAAGATAGCTTGTGAATGGAGATATTAATAATAAGAAGACAGACGACTCCTCATCTTACCATCTGAGCAGCTTTGGTGCAAAGGGATGCTTCGCCGTGAATAGGTTTGAGTTTAGAAACCGCCCACCGGCTCCCACGCGTCCCAGCTGCCTTACGCTGGCGACGGCCCTTCCCTTGCCCAGAGAGGCCCCGGCGCCTCCCGCCCAGGACCCACCTCGCCCTTCTCATTGCGGATGAGTCGGTTGAATTCTTTGCCTTCTAAGCACAGAAAGTCATCCGAAGTTGTCAGAATGCCACACTTGGTGGCGATGGCCCGGGCTGTGTTGATGTTGTCACCTGTCACCATTCTGACAGTAATGCCAGCTCGTTTGCATTTGGCAATAGCGTCTGGGACCTGTGGAGAGTAAAGAAAGAGGAAAGGCACAGATGGGGGGTGGCGATCCTTCTGAGCTGCCCAGGGCCATGGGGCACGGGCTAAGTCTGGTCATTTTGGTGTAGCCAGCTGATGCCTCACTTCTGTCCACGCTACGGCAAGTCACATTTGAACTTGCCTCCTTGCACCATGGGGTCAGAGGGGAAATCTGCTTCAGGAGACTGGTATAAAAACTTGCTCCTCGGCAGGGCCTGGATGGCGTTTTGAGATCTGACCACTGCTTTCCTTTCTAGTAGAAGCTTTTACCACTCTCTTGCCACCTGGCCCATGCTCCAACCATGTCAGCTCTTTGTAGTTTCCCAAATGCATGACGCCTTCTCATGCCTCTGGGCCTCAACAGTTGATAATCCATCTGCCTGAACTTCTCAGAGGCAGAAACTTTTTCAATTCCCTAGTGTCGAGAATAGCGTGCAGCACACGGCAGGTGCTCAGAAAGAATGTGTTGACTGAAAGAAGGCAGCTAAAGACAAAGTTGGTGTCCCGGTGAATTCTGCCACCTAACTATCGTTAAGTAGCAAATAATAAGCCCTCGAAAGAACCTTTGTTTCCCGCCACTCCAGACAGCACGGGCTCTAGGGAGGCTATGCGCCGTCGGTTTGGCACGCCACGGCACTCCTGGGAAGCAGGGAGCAGAGAAAACGCTATCCCTGTCAGTGAGATGCAGTTCGGTAACTTGCCTGGGGTCACGGTTAGAAAAGGGACTGGGTACCCCACCTTCCTGGGACTCCTGGGTGGCTTCCTATCGGGTCACACTGGGCCTATGCGTAGGCCAGGGGCCGCCGGGAGGCTGCCTTTCTTTGTGTTCTCCCGCTCTTTCTCGGAGCGGAGCCTCACCTCTGGGCGCACGGGGTCCTCGATGCCTACCACGGCGATGCAGGTCAGCTCGGTGAGGATCTCACTCTCGTTGTCCCACGAGGGCTCTGCGTCATCAAAATCCCGGTAAGCTATGCAGATAGTCCGGAGTCCCTCAGAGGCCATGGGCTCAATGACATTGCGTACCATGTTCTCTCGGTCTTTGTTCTTGAATGGTACCGCCTCCCCTTTCTGGTCCAGGATCCGGTTACACCTGGAGAGGCGCACAGTCAGAAAGCAGTGGCTGCGTTCCCCTCTCCACACGCTCCTACAATCCCTTACGGACATTTTGGCAATCTAGATTATTCCCAAAGACACGGTTCCATGGGCAAGCCTCTCCTTTTTCCATCTCTCAGCTGAGCCCCTCTTTCCAAGGCGGGGTGGCCGGTGACGGAGTATGGTCTGGGGAGGCAGAGAGGATGACTCTCCCCTGTCCCTGTTCTCACCCGTGTGTGAGTACAATGCTGAGTCATTTGCAGACCACCTGCTCTTTTGAATTTCTTTTTTTTTTTTCTTTTAGAAGAGGTCTCACTCTGTCACCCTGGCTAGAGTGCCGTGGCATCAGCCTAGCTCACAGCAACCTCAAACTCCTGGGCTCAAGTGATCCTCCTGCCTCAGCCTCCTGAGTAGCTGGGACTTACAGGCATGCGCCACCATGCCTGGCTAATTTTTTCTATTTTTGGTTCAGACGGGGTCTCACTCTTGCTGAGGCTGGTCTTGAACTCCTAAGCTTAAGTGATCCACCAGCCTCGGCCTCCCAGAGTGCTAGGATTACAGGCACGAGCCACCACGCCTGGCGTCTTTTGAATTTCTTGAAAGTAGAGAGACTTTTTCAATCCCTAATATCTAGAATCGTGCTCAGTGCATGGTGGAGGAGGGTGCTAAGCAAGAACATGTTGATTAAAAGAAGATGGCTAAAGCCAAGTTGGGGCACTGGTTAACTCAGCCCTGCTGGCCCTATCCCTAAGCAGGGTAAACTTTTAATGATCTATGGATAATCTAACCACTTTTTTAGTTATATAACTTCCCTCTAATCAGAATTGGGAATGGAGGGCCGAGTGCGGTGGCTCATACCTGTAATCCTAGCACTCTGGGAGGCCGAGGTGGGCGGATTGCTCGAGCTCAGGAGTTCCAGACCAGCCTGAGCAAGAGCAAGACTCCGTCTCTACTATAAATAGAAAGAAATTAGCCAAACAACTAAAAATAGAAAAAAATTAGCTGGGCATGGTGGTGCATGTCTGTAGTCCCAGCTACTCGGGAGGCTGAGGCAGGAGGATCGCTTGAGCCCAGGAGTTTGAGGTTGCTGTGAGCTAGGCTGATGCCAAGGTACTCTAGGCAAGAGAGTCAGACTCTGTCTCAAAAAAAAAAAAAAAAAAAAAAAAAAGAATTGGGAATGGAAGGGAAAAGAGAACATAGAAGTAACACATGTCTAGTGCTTGCTGTGTATAAGGTATTCCACATACCTTGAATCATTTAATCATAGCGAGGTGGTTAGTAGTATTGTCACTACGTGATATTATTTAGTACTGCCTCTGTTTTCAGATTGGGAAATGGGAGTTTAGATAGTCTAGGTCTGAATCCTGGCTGTGCCAGTATTAGATGCGTCCCTCCTTTACCTCTGTTTTCTCACCTCTAACAACATTAACCACTTCGGCACGGCGCTCACAGTCCGCACGAGTCTGCGCTGTGCATTGATGGTGTCCGTTTCGCTCCTGTGTGGTGAGGAAGGCTTGCAAGCCTTGAAAGCTTGTTTTACTTTACAGGCAGCTTTCCTTGTCATGTAAATCAGAATAGGTAACGTATACAGCTATGTTTTCATTACGTTAATTTTAAATGTTCACAATTTTATTTTGATTAATGAAAAACTAGACAAGTCATATCACGGCTGTCGGCTAAAGCTGACGCTCGTGCCGAAGTGGTTAAGTAGCATTCTCCTCACTGAGTCGATGAAATGAAATGAGCCTCCTAAAGTACTTAAATCCAGTGCTTGGATGTCAGTTATGCCACCACCTGGCCGGGGGGCTTGCTCTCACGCGTGGGTTCCGCGTGGGGCACGCCCCGGGCCTCCCGCGAGGAGGGGGGTGCAGGGAGAGCGGGAGGGAGCTCACTTGCGCAGGATGATCTCGGACGCGCCCTTGCTGTACATGCGGAAGCCGCCGCCGGGCTTCCTCACCACCGTGCTCATCGACTTGCGCACCGAGTTGAAGGTGTACACCTTGTGGAACTGCTCCTCGGGCATCTCGTCACGGACGGCCTCGTAGTCCTGTTTCAGGTCTCTGACAAGGCCCAGCAGGGCACACTCGGTCTTGTTGCCCACCTGCCTCGGCAGGCCTCCCTCCTTTTCTGGAGGCTGAGAGAAAAAACACACGGGACCGTTGCATAAGACGCCTCGGCCCGGGAGAGAACTCAGGAAGGAAAGAATTAACTTACAAAACTTTCTCATATAGACCCAGAGCCCATGGGGGAAATAACATCTGTGTTTTCATTTTTTTTCTTTTCTTTGAGACAGAGTCTCACTCTGTTGCCCAGCTAGAGTGAGTGCCGGATGGCGTCACCTAGCTCCAAGCAACCTCAACCCTGGGCTCAAGCACAGTCCTCCTGCCTAGTCCTCCGAGTAGCTGGGATATCAGGCATGGCGCCAACCATGCAGGTAATTTTTTTCTCTATATATTAGTTGGCCAATAATTCTTTCTATTATAGTAAGAAGACGACGTCTCCAGCTCTTGCTCGCTGGTTTTCGAACTCCTGATCTCGAGCAATCTGCCGCTCTGGCTCCCAGAAGCTAGGATTACAGGCGAGCCCTGGCCCAGGCCCGGTCTTTTTTTTTTACTTTACAAGTCGCGTGGCCGGGTGCAGTGGCTCACTGCCTGTAATCTAGCTCTCCTGGAGCTGAGGTGGGAGGACTTGCTCTACTCCTTACTCAGGAGTTTCGGAGACCAGCCTGAGCAACAGCGACGACCCGTTCCCTATCATAAGAGAAAGAATTGCAAACAATAAAAATAGAAAAATGAGCCGGGCATGGTGGCGGCATGCCTGTAGTCCCAGCACTCGGGAGGCTGAGGCAGGAGGATCACTTGAGCCCAGGAGTTTGAGGTTGCTGTCAGCTAGGCTGACGCCAAGGTACTCTAGCCCAGGCAAGAGAGTGAGACTCTGTCTCAAAAAATAAATAAAATAAAATAAAACAAATAAATAAATAATAAAAAATTTTTATTTTTAGAGATGGGGTCTTGCTCTATTGCCCAGGTCGTAGTACAGTGATGCAGTCACAGCACACTGTAACCTTGAACTTCTGAGCTTGAGTCTGAGCAGTTGGGATTACCAGTGTGTGCCACCACTCTTGGCTAATTGTTTTCATTTTCAAGAATGGGGTCTTGCTATGTTGCTCTGGCTGGCCCCAAACTCCCGGGCTCAAGTGGATCCCCCCACTTCATCCTCCTGTGTTGCTGGGATTACAGGCATGAGCCACTGCACCCAGCTGTGGTTTTTTTTTTTTTTTTTTTCCCCAGGGTAGGCAGACAGTGGTCAGTGGTGTGCATGATCCCCAAGCCATCCAGGCCTTAGGGGTTTGTAGTTTGTGACATTGCTGGTCTCTCACCCCATCGGAGTCTTACGCTAATACCCTCTCCTTGTTTCTGGAAAGTGAGCAATTTATTCCAGGTAAGCCCAAGTCTACTCCCAGCAGGAGGTCCGTCCTTGGAGACAGTGCCTGTTCCTGGCCGAGGATTCCCAGAGGCCCTCCCTGCTCCCATCTACTCCCGTGGATTATCTCCCAGTGTCACCCAGGTGTGCTCCCTCAGGAGTGAGAAACAGGATGTGGGGTGGCAATTCAGGCAGACTAAGCAACAGGGGGTTTGCCTCCGAGAACACTAACGTTCCCTTCCATCCACCCATTCTAAGTGCCCAGGCAAAGGAAAAGCTTACCAGAATCTTGGAGGTATAAGCAGAGTTGATAGAAATGCCATTGACAATCAAGTCCAGGACCTTGGGCAGGAAGATATCTGGGTTCGGGATCTCACGGTAGTGGGTGCCCCCGATGTAAGCCTGTACCACGGTCATGCGGTTCATGGTCAACGTGCCTGTCTTATCAGAGCAGATGGCCGTGGCGTTGCCCATCGTCTCGCAAGCATCCAGGTGTCGTACCAGGTTATTGTCTTTCATCATTTTCTACAAAGGAGAAGAGAAAAGACTCAAGCGAGGACCAACCGGGCCCTCCCAGTTATAGGCCAAAGTCATCTCCCAGCCAACATCTCTCTGCATTGCATTCTGCAGTCCCGCACCAAAACGCAAGATACTATTTTTGTCAAACTCTTAAGATTCTACTGGGTTGTTTAGATGTTGATGCATCTGATTGAGATGGCTCTGTCCACAGTGTCAGGGACTCCTGCTCTTGTGAGGCACCACCCGAAGTCCGTAGGGAGTCGAATGGCCTATCCCCTCACTGGCGGTGACAGGGGACCCTCCCCTCCCATCTCTGTCCTGAAGGAAGAGAGAGAGTTGTTCCAGTCTCACCTTCACAGAATAGGCCAGTGAGATGGTGACAGCCAGTGGCAGCCCCTCTGGCACAGCCACCACCAGTACAGTGATGCCAATGATGAAGAACTTGACAAAGTACTGGATGTAGATGGGAGTACACTCAGATACCCACGGTCTCTGTTGTATCCCAAAGGTGTCGATCACAAAGTACAGAATCAGGATGAAAACTGTGATGGCAGACATGATCAGACCTGTCCAGGGAGACAAATCACATGAACCCAGGCTTGAGGGCGTTCCTAGGGTCCTAGCCAGAGACGGACCGGTGTAAGTCGTAGCCTTTGTTACCAATTTTCACAGCCGCCGTCTCCAGGAAGGCATATTAAAACCCCCTACCCGTTCTTTGCTGGTTGTGCACTACAGCATTGGGAACAGACACTGGTTTTGCATTCCAAAGACACAGGTCCTCAACACTGCGCTAACTTTTTTTTTTTTTGAGACAGAGTCTCACTTTGTTGCCCAGGCTAGAGTGAGTGCCGTGGCGTCAGCCTAGCTCACAGCAACCTCAAACTCCTGGGCTCAAGCGATCCTCCTGCCTCAGCCTCCCGAGTAGTAGCTGGGACTATAGGCGTGTGCCACCATGCCCAGCTAATTTTTTCCTACATATATGTTAGTTGGCCAATTAATTTCTTGCTATTTATAGTAAAGATGGGGTCTCGCTCTTGCTCAGGCTGGTTTTGAACTCCTGACCTCGAGCGATCCGCCCGCCTTGGCCTCCGAGAGTGCTAGGATGACAGGCGTGAGCCACCGCGCCCGGCCAGCACTGCGCTAACTTGACGCGTGGCTTTGGATAAGTCGTTGACTCTCTCTGGGCCTGTTTCCTAGACCAAATTCCTCATCCATAAATAAGGGGGTTGGTCTGTTTTTTGAAACAGTGTTCTATGATTTTATCCCAAAGCTACCCTCTTGCCACAATTCACAATATAAGTGATTGCACTAGTCCATTTCCTAGTAGTTTATCAGTTTCGACTTCCCCCCTACTGGCCTGTGAATGCTGGACAGTTCCCAGTTTGTTTGCAGCGATGCCCTGTGGTGCTGGCAATAACCTACACGACTAACCCTTAGCACAGGGCTTCCGGGCCTTTCCCTCGTCACGGCGCACGCAGAAAATGGCGGTAATAGCAAACATCTATGTAGTGCCTGCTGTGGGCCAGGCAATCACTTCTCAACAACCTTGTGAGTAGATTACTATTATCACCCTCTTATTAAAGATGGCGAAACTAAGGCACAGAGCGGTTTCCGGTATGGCGTATCGGTAGGGTGACTGACCATTCTGACTTGCCTGAGACTGAACCATTTCCTGGCACGTGGGACTTTGCTAACACCGAGAATAATCCAAAGCAAACGGGGATTGTTGTTTACCCTATGCGTTAAGGTAAATGGAAAAATCTGTTGAAGGTCAAAAAACGCCGGCTTAGGGGCTCCGGTTGCTCTGGGTGCTGCCAGGCCTGTGAGGGCTTAAGGGATCAGGATCTGGGCACACCTGTCCCTATCTGTGGCACAATATTTGGGGAAAAACTCTGCTTGAAACCGCAGTCTGGTTTTGGGCTTTGCTTTTCCTGAGGGTCTGCTGACTCTGGGGCCTCAGAGCAAGGCTAGAGATGATGCTATTGAAGAAAACAGATCCTTCTGTACTTTGCTTGATTAAGGTCAGGATTACGACGGGGAAGCGAGACACTTAAGGTGCAATATGCAAGCAGGGACTCACTCTCCGGAGGATGGAAGGCACCCCGCTTGCCTCACCCGGGGCCTGGCCTGGCCTGATACAGGAAATTTAAACAACCAGAGCAAACTAGTGGCCAACCTGCAGGTAGGTTATGCTCCCTAAGAGGAACAAGGCAGAGATTAGGGGACTATTAGGAGGATTGGGTGGGGTCTGTTTAATATTTCAAACCTGTGTGCCAGGCTCAGTAACTTCATTCTGCACCTGCAACTCATCTCATCCGTGTGCAGTTTATATGCAAGAGATTCATAGTAGTTAAAATTAGCCAGGTGCTGGAATGAAAGAAAGAAGCAAGACCAACACAGCCCACTAGATCTTTCTGTGATGCTTTAAACATTCTCTATTTGCACTTTTCGATACGGTAATGTGGTTAATATGACTGAGGAACTGGATTTTTAATTTTATTTAATTTTAATTAATTCCAATTGCAATAGTCTCATGTGGTGAGTGGCTGCTATGTATGGTGGGCAGCACAGATCCTTGCTACCCAGCGTGTGCTAACGGGTCAGCCACATGGCATGGTGTGGGGGCTTGTTAGAAATGCAGAATTCTGGGCTCCACCCTAGACCTCCTGAGCTGCATCTGCACTGTAACAAGAACCCACGTACTGTGTTTCCCCGAAAATAAGACCTACCCATAAAATAAGCCCTAGCAGGATTTCTAAGCATTTGTGCAATAGAAGCCCTACCCCGAAAATAAGCCCTAGTGACGGGTGTGGCTACGCAGCGCATCTGCACAACCCATGCGTGTCATCACGGAGTGGGAAAGACGACGAGCAGCCCTTCTCATCTGCCCCAGGAGAGCTCTATGGCTCGACATGAGAGATTGGGGCCAATGGTTTTAAAGGATATAGAGTCACAGGAAATTCAGGATGGAATTCGGGGTTTAGAGTGATGATGATGTTCCAGAAGACGACTTAACTATATTTGAATAAATGTAGATTGTTGTACTGTACTTAAAAAAAATAACACATCCCCTGAAAATAAGCCCTAAGGTGTCTTCTTTTTTTGTTTTTTTTCTTTGAGTCAGAGTCTCACTTTGTTGCCCAGGCTAGAGTGAGTGCCGTGGCGTCAGCCTAGCTCACAGCAACCTCCAACTCCTGGGCTCAAGCGATCCTCCTGCCTCAGCCTCCTGAGTAGCTGGGACTACAGGCATGCGCCACCATGCCCGGCTAATTTTTTCTGTATGTATTAGTTGGCCAATTAATTTCTTTCTATTTATAGTAGAGACGGGGTCTCGCTCTTGCTCAGGCTGGTTTTAAACTCCTGACCTCGAGCAACCCGTCCGCCTTGGCGTCCCAGAGTGCTAGGATTACAGGCGTGAGCCACCGCGCCCGGCCGTAGGGTGTCTTCTTGAGGAAAAATAAATATAAGACCCTGTCTTATTTTTGGGGAAACACGGTAAGCAGCGCACCCAGAGATGTACTGATTGTGACTGATAAACAGAAGGGTAGGGTCAGAAAATAAACAGTGGTAAAAGACCATATCTGGAGGGATAGGTCCACTGAAGGAGCAATCTTCCTTTTGTCCCCTCCTCCCATTCCTCTGCCCCTCCGTTGAAAGAAGGTGGTGGGGGAGAGGAGAAGGGAGAGGGAAGTATGGAGAAGTCACTCCCTCATAATCAGAGTGCATGAGGGACCTTTCCTCTGGAGACAGCCTCTCTGACCACTGTCTTCCTTTTTCCTCCAGTCTTTATTTGGTGTCTATGGCTCTGTGCTTGGCCAGATGCTGCTACTACGCCTGGGAATTGCCTTCAGCAAACTGCAGCCTCCTCTACCCTTGAGGAGTGTCCAAGCCAACACATGAGACAGGTAAGCAGTTATTAAAAACTTCCTTCTTCAGCTGTAAGTCTCCCTTGTGACACATGCTCTTTATTTCCCATTTGTTTGGGTCCAAGAGACCTGGGGCCCCTTAACCCTTACAACAAACACACAGGGGCAATTTCTCTCTCTAGGGAGTGGCCAAATGGTGGCAGAGCTACCCGGACCCAACTAGCCACTCTGAAGTTTCGGCTTCTTTCCGCCAGTCCTGGTTGGTGTAGGAAGAAGGGGATGGAAGCAGTGAGGCCCCAGCGTGACACTGAGGAGCAACGCCGCCACTCACCGGCTTTCCCAATCTGCACGGCCAGGCGGGTCAGCTTGCCCTGCAGCACCGACTTCTCCTTTTTAGGTACCTTGATTGACTTCTTCTCCTTCTCCTCACTGTCAAGTCCCTCCTGGCTGTTGAGTGGCTGGATTTCCAGGGCCACTCCATCCTGGGTCTTTGCTAGGGTGCACACACAAACAGGACAGGTGAGCAGGACAGGTGCTAGCACGGGGTGGCAGGCAGACGGAAACCAAAAGACCCTTCTGTCTTTGTACTGGAATATACCTGGGAGCCCCTGACATCAGTTCCTGCCACTCCCACCCGCTACCAGACATGGAACTTACCTTCGACCCTCTATTAGGGCCTTGGGAATAATATTCTAACAACTGGAGATGAGACAAGGGTGCTTTTAGGGTACGGATTTCCTCTTCAGTGGTGGCTTCCTGGCATTACCTCAGAGCCCCAAGCCAGGTTTATTCCAGCAAGGGGATTAATCATGTCATTAAGTGCTATTACCAACAAACATCCTTCCTGGAATTCAGCTCTTAAAATAGTGAATCTTTACTGCAGAACCCTTTACTGCAGAAGGAAAAGGCTGGAAGATGTTTCTAGAGCATAAGCTTATTTTGTTAAATGGGTTTCCTCTCTCTCTCTAGAGTATCAGGCAAGAAACACAGACCCCCCCCCCCACAGACACAGGGTATTTTCCAGCTCCTTCTTCTATCAGTTGAAGGACAGGGGAAGGAAAACCCCTTTCTTCCCTGCCTGACAAAGGTAGGGAGGTACGGAGTGGAACTTGGGGTTAAGTGTTTTGGGGGAGAGGGATGAAGCTGATGTGAGGGACACCCCCCCCCCGGCATAATAGAAAGCAGGGATAAAGACAGACATAAAAATCCATTTTGCTTTTAAAAGAAGAGTTCAAGAGACCTAAAGTTAAAGAATTATTTCTGTTTGGCCCTGGTTCTCTGCTGTGATGGCTTTATTTCTAAAGATTCTTATGATGTGGGTTAGTCACAAAGGGAAAAACAAATCTCCAAGAGCCGTCCCAAGCGCGCAGTCCTCGCTGGCTCCCAACGCCCCTCTGCCTGCACCCCTGCAGCGCCCAGCCCTCGCTTAGGATGCCCTTCCTGAGAAAGCCTGCCTGTCTCTGCCGTCGGACTCACAAACAGGACAGAGACGGGATGTAAACACAGCCACCAGAAAGAGAAACACACATCGGATCAGGAGGAAGAAAACATTGTGGAGAGAACAAAGAAAGAGGTGGGGAGAGGTCCGGACAAAGGGCTCTCTCCAAGCACCCCCGAGAAGACCAGCAGAGAAGGAATCCAGACCAGAAGAGGACACCGATGAGGAAGCTAGCAAGAGGAGGGTGCAGGGACTGCCCACCCCAACTCCCTCCGCCATAAGGACTCTGAAGTCTTCCAACCCAGAGACCGAGGACCACTGGTGTTCAAACCCAGCCGAGGGCAATGAAACAAAGAGTTCAGCACCCCGGGAAGAGCAGACCAGTCCCACACAACAACCCCCAAGAGAAACCTTGACACCTTGACGTGAGGTTCTACGAGCCAACGGCAGAGGGTGCTGTTGTCCCATTTTTAGATTGGGATGGGGACCTTGCGACCCCCCGCCCCCCCAAATCTCTGCACCTTCCTCTGGATGAGGGATCTGGGCCACAGCAGCAGATAACAGACTTATGGAGCAGAAAAGGGAGAAGGCAGATGGCCTGGAAAGGTCTGGTTTGAGCGTGGGCAGGTAGAGATGGTAAATGAGTGGGTGGAGAGGTTACCTTTGTTGCGATTTTCAGGGACTCCTTGTTTTTTACCTGTTTGAACAAGAAAGAAAAAAGTGGGGTGGAAACCCAGAGTGACTATTAAGAGATCAGATATCCAGTTTGTCGGTCCTGCTCAGAGCCCAAAAGGGCGACAGCAAAGGGGCTGGGTTGCGGGGAAGGGAAATGGAAAGGAAACTCACATCTCTGCTTTCATTCATTCTAGCCAGAGGCTCTAATGAATCCTTGGGAGACGGAGCAAACACTCAGTAGGTGAGTGCAAGCGCACCCCCGAGCTGCTTTCTCTTGGAGCATGGCTGCTGCTGGGAGGGGGGCTCTTGGTCTGAGTCACATTGCTTGGGAAAATGGGATGGGGATTTGGAAGTGAGAGGTTAGAACTGTTTCTGCCCAATGGCAAAGGCCCTGAAGGTGTCTCCGTGTTACCTTCAGCAGCACCAGGCAAGCGCCCTCCTTATTCATCTGCAGATAGCTGCAAAAATGAATAGTCTCATTTCCTTTTCATAGACTGTCCTCCACTAAACAGCTCAAGATGATCTTCTAGACGAGTGGTAGAAATCTTTCTCTCTCCCAAGGGAAGAAGGAATGCTTAGGGAAAGGTGTAGATTTGGTTTGAGTGTCTTTTCCTCCTCCTCCTCCTCCTGTCATTCCTTCCTCCAGGAACAAGTGAATGGCAAAGACTGGACTAACTTCAGGGTAGACACTACCTCTCTGTCCCCACTCTCCTAGCTGTGTCCCCCTTGCACTGAGAGCCCACGGTTTCATCAGGAATCCATTTTATTCTTCTGGCCAGTTTCCCCCTAGTCATGATGGCTCATTTACTCTCCCATCTTTGAAGGACAAAGTAGGGGGAGGAGGCGTACACACAGGGTATGTGGCTTAGAGCACCTAGCCAGCGCGTTTTGGGCAGGCTTTATAACTTGGCCCTTCACAACTCACCGATAGGCACAAAAGTTGAGGCTCAAATTCAATCTGATTTGGGAGCCTAGAGCCAGGATCTGGTTTTTCATCAGAGATCCCTGGAGAGCCAGGGGTTATATCTTTATCCCAGCAAGGAGTATGGATATCTGGATATCTATCATTCCAGCAGATTCTTCCAACTAGGCTTTCCATCCAGATCCTTGTTTGTCCCATTGGGACGAGAGGAAAGAGAGTCTCATTCTGGATGTCCCTTACCTTTCTTCTTCTTCTCCTCCTCCTCTTCCTCCTCCTCCTCATGGTCCTCATGGGCGCCCAAGAGAGTAAAAATGATTCCAGTCTGGGAGTTCACACCTACAGCAGTCACTACCATCCGGCCAGAACCTTCCATGACATGGGTTCCTATAAAGAAAAGGGGAGGATAGAAAGTAGTGTTTTTTTGTTTTTTGTTTTTTTTTAAAATACCTAGCCATGACTTGGCGTGAAACACAAACTTAGAAGAAAAACTAATCCCTTATCCCGTGGATAGTGACATACTTAGCATAGTAGGAAAAGGTTGAGAGCTGGCCCATTTAAAACAGACCAAGCAAATTGGTAGGAAGGAGGAAAATGTGTCTGCTTTAAGGTAAGCCCACCTTGTGTCCCCTCCCCCACAACCAGCAGGGCCCCTCCAAGGAGCCTCCAGTACTTGTTTCATAGAAAACCTCATTTAGGTTGCTGATATCCCTGTATTCCATCCTATAATACTCTATTGCCCCAATTGAACCCAAGGGAAGGAGATGGGATGGAGCCAGAAGAGAGAGCAGGGTCTGGGTCCTGTGGGCTGGCTGTCTGCGGGGAGGTAGAAGGGGAGCTTGGGTAGCCCGAGGCTATACCTGAGAGCAACATGAGGTCTTTGTCCAGGGACTTCTTGACATGGTCTGATTCCCCCGTCAGAGTGCTCTCATCAATCTTCAGGTCATTCCCCTGGATCAGGACCCCATCTGCAGGCAGCAGGTCGCCTAGTGCACAAAGGGAAGTGGGAACAGTGAAGGAGGGTGGGTAAGAGCCTGGCCAAGGGTGGGGACCTCCAGCTTCTTCCACTCCATCTCAGGGCTGCTCCCATGGGCTCTGCCGGTAGAGCGATGGCCAGGAAGTCTCTGGAGAGCCTTTACAAGACACCGTCAGCTCTCTACCACTCAGGACAAGATTCCTTTCCAGGTTTTATAAATTCAAACTACTATCAATACCCAAACATGGATACTGTCTCTGTGGCCTGGATATTACACACTTTTAACCTTAAGGCACACACGGTACAAGTGTGACAATCTTTTAGGTGAGTTCCAGCTACTGCTGTCTCTGAAATGCCTTCCTGCAACCTCCTTAAACACTAACTTAGAAGCTAGCACAATTTGGGGTCTCTTTGGGTTTTCAGCAATTCTCAGCCCTCTCATGTCAAAGGCTCTACCCTTCAAATGTGGGGCCGTGGTGGCGGTGGTGTACGAGAACAAGAAACGTGGAGCTCTCACCGTACTTGATTTGGGCGATGTCACCCACCACAATCTCAGACACGGGGAGCTGGATGAGCTGGCCGTTTCGGATGATGGAGAACTTTTGCTCCTGTTCGATGCGGCTCTGCAGCCCCCGAAATTGCTTCTCTTTGCTCCAGTCATTAAAGGCAGTCACCAACACCACGACGATCACCGAGAACAGGATGGCTGCCCCTTCGATCCAGCCGGCTTCCGCCTCCTTCTCATCTTCTGGGGCACTTGCAACATAGCCACACACTGTCCCAGGGAAGGGAGAGAGACGGTCACCGAGGGGCTTTTGTTGGCATTCGGAAATGAGGGTAGTCCTTCCACAATCCCCCTCCAAAACGGAAAGTCAGGCAAAGAGAATAATAGAAGACAAAATTCCTGAGTAAAAGCATATCAGAGGATATAGCAGGATTGAGTGTTGTCTTATCACCAGTATAACTATGTATGTTAATCCAAAAGAAGCAAATGACTAAAGAGAACAAATTATGTCGATGCAAACTGTAGGCAAGTCGCATGGAAACTCACACTCATGATTTCCAACATGGTCAGGCTCCCACTGCTATTTCCCACAAGGCCAGACCGCTGGCAGGGGCACTTTGAGATGCAGGGCTCTGTTGCTTGGATTTGATGGGAGAAGGGGGAAAAAGTCTTCTGCAATAAGGGTGGGTTGGAAGAATAGCTTACTAGCTACCAGTAGGCTTCCTGTGGACAGCCCACTCTAGATAACAGGGCGAGAGTTTTAAGCTATAACCTGCCAACCCCCAGCACTGAGTGCTTTTTGGTGGTGGAGGAAAGAACCCAGATCAGAGTCATGCTGGTATGTTTAGGATGCTCACCTTCACTGTCTTCACTCCCGGGACGGTAGAAGGACAGGACCAGGGAGATGATGGCTGCGATCTCCAGGATGATGAGTGTGACATCTTGAAGGGCTTCCCACACTAATTCTAAGAAGGTCTTGGGCTTTTTGGGGGGTATCACGTTTTGTCCAAACACCTGCCGACGTCTCTCCAGATCTACAGGGTTCCCAGACAGACCTGAAAAGGACACAGGGGTGGGTAATGAATGAGGGGAAAACGGGGAATGATAAAAGAAGGCAGTTAAAAGCCCTATTTTAAAAAAAGACCTCTTGCTTCTTCAAGTGCCCAAGTCTGAGAGCCAGTTAGCGTGGCCAGCCATCTCGGTTTGCCCAGGACTTGGGGCGTGTGGAACTTCCGGTCTGAATATTAGCAAAGTGGGACTAGTTGGTCACCAGGCCACTCACTTCTTCTTGTAACCAGGATAAGCTAACCCAGACGTGAAATCTCTTCTACTCCTCACTGAGTTCGTGCTAGACTCCAGCTCTAAGAACGTAAACATTAAAATATCTCTTGGGATTCACGCAGAACTTTTCTCTCACGTGGAAATGCAGGTAATGATTTAAATATAGAGTGAGAGGCCAGGTGGTGGCTCATGCCTGTAATCCTAGCACTATGGAAGGCTGAGGCGGGAGGATCGCTTGAGGCCAATAGGAGTCTGAGACCAGCCTGAGCAAGAGCGAGACCCCCGTCTCTACAAAAAGTAAAAAAATTAGCTGGGTGTAGTGGTGTGCACCTGTAGTCCCAGGTATTCAGGGGGCTGAGACAAGAGGATTGCTTGAGCCCAGGAGTTTGAGGTTGCAGTGAGCTACGAGGATGCCACTGCACTCCACCCGGGCAACAGAGTGAGACTGTGTCGCTCAATAAATAAATAGATAAATGCAGAGTGAGTTTCCATCCATTGGCTTATACATAAAGGCCAGAAAAGGATGACCTGCCTGCTCAAGGTCATGTAAAAAGGACTAGCTGCCTGCTCAAGGTCATGTACAACGGGGCAGAGCCCACCGGGAGAGCCCACTCATGTGTCTTGATGCCGAGTCCCAGGAGCTTTAGGAGCTCATCAGAGCAGAGGCTTTGAGACCGGCAGTTTTGGGGATCCCCTGTAAGCACACATGCTCCTCCTTTTCTGTCACACGCACACACATGCGCACAGGCATAAACATACACCATTAAGAGGTACTACCATTCTACCAAGTACTAAGTACTTGTAGGTACTAAGAGAAGTGCTACTGTTGAGGTTCAATAAAAAGAGAACAAGAAAGAAAGGGGAGGCCATAAAGTTTTCAGGTACTACATAGTCCTTGATTACCGGTATCTTCCCCGCCCCCCCACATGCTTACATACCTGTGTGCACACGCCACATGACACACACACTCCACACACACCATGCAAACATGCCACACACACACCACAAACATAGCACATACACACGACATACATGCACACACAGACCCCACACACATTCTAGGCATGTGCACAAAGGGACGAGAGGCAGGCAGGATTATTCTAGCGCCTTGCTCACACTCAGGCCCTTCTGCCAGACCCCAGGGGGTTACCCTTGAGGGAAGAGGGGACCGACTGTGACATCACTGCCAGTGGCCTCCCATCCAGCTGTTTACCCGCTGGAGTCCAGCTTTGGCACCGGAAGCTGTTGGCTGCCTGTTTGATAGGTTCTCTGCAGGCAGGATGGGGTCACCAGCTGAGGAAGGTCATGGATGGGAGGAGGGGGAAGGGGACACCCAATTGAGCTTCGCAGAGCGAGCAAGGAGAGCAGCAAGGACAGACAGAACTGGTGAAGCCGGCAGTGCACACCGAGGCTACTCTGCCGGTGGGGAGCCAGTGAGGACGGTGGGGAGCCAGTGTGGACAGTGGGGAGCCAGTGTGGACGGTGGAGAGCCAGTGTGGACGGTGGGGAGCCAGTGTGGATGGGTGGTGGGAGGTGGCATCCTCTCTCCATCTGCACTGAATAGAGCCCAAGAGCGCTGCCTTAAATGGCAAGAGGAGAGACGTGTGAGACCTACGGAAGATGTGTGGACAGAGAAAGATTTTGAAAACGGGACTACAGGTGCCCAAAGGAGCGTTTTTTTGCAGGGTCTGCGAGATGGTCTCCATTTCTCCATCCTAAAAACAAAACCTGGCAGGAGGTGCTCGGCCACTCAAGGGTCGGGGAAGGCAGCTGTGGGAGCCCGCCAGGTGGGACGGTGGGGGCAGGGATGGACGGGCGTCCACACTTACACAGTCGGGGATTTGAGGGCCCTTTTCTGGGGTTCCTTTCACCTGCTAGTGCTCAGGAGACAGACGCAAGAGCTGTCGGGGAAGCGGTGGCCGAGGTTCCCGCCCAGGGTCTCCTCCCTCCCAGGGCCCAAGTCCTCATGCCGCCCCCCATCTGAGCAGAGCTCCATGGGGAGCAAGGTTTGGCCCAAGCGCTGGGAGCAGGTTGGCGTGCTTCCCACAGGCTCCCTGCCTCCCGCACCCAGAAGCCGCATTCCCAGCAGGAAAGGAGAGCGGGGCCTGGGAAAGGCGTGTTCCGGGCAGGGGGCGGGCAGGGGCAGAGGTGCCACGGGCAGGGCCTTGCTGGTTCCTCCTCCCCGGGGACCGGCCATGGCAAGGCTGTGCCAACTCGAAGCTGCTGTGCTGAAGGGCCAGGCCTGCTTAAGGGAAGCAGGAGTTCTGGCAATTTGTTGACCCACCTGGGATGTTTAGCAAAGAAGCAGGATTCACAATGTAAAGGGAAGAGATGCTCTTCCTTACTTAAGGTTTAATACCGTGTTTCCCCGAAAATAAGACCTACTCATAAAATAAGCCCTGGCAGGATTTCTGAGCACTTGCGCAATAGAAGCCCCACCCCGAAAATAAGACCTGGTGACGGGCGTGGCTGCGCAGCGCGTCTGCACAACCCGTGCATGTCGTCGCGGAGCGGGAAAGAAGACGAGCAGCCCTTCTCATCTGGCCCAGGAGAGCTCTAGTGCTCAGCACGAGAGATCGGGGCCAGTGGTTCTAAAGGAAATAGAGTCGCAAGACATTCAGGATGGAATTCGGGGTTTGGAGAGTCATGAGGATGTTCCAGAAGAAGACGACTTCAGTATATATATATTTTTTTCATTAAGATTGGCCCTCTTGTAGACTTCAGTATATTTGAATAAATGTAGATTGCTGTACCGTACTTAAAAAAATAACACATCCCCTGAAAATAAGCCCTAGGGTGTCTACTTGAGGAAAAATAAATGTAAGACCCTGTCTTATTTTGGGGGAGACATGGTTATGAGGGCAAAGCAGGACATCAGACAGTAAAGATCATCACAAGGGGCATCGCAAAAGCCTGATGGAGCCCCCCACCCTGAAAGAGTCTATCTGAGCACCCCATCTAAGGGGCAGGGCTGCCTGTCCCTCCCTGCTCTCATATTAACACCTTGTAGTCTTCCCTGACTCTCACCCCTCCCTCCCCTATATCCACATAGTCAAACCCGCCCGCTCTGCCTTCAAGATACACCCAAAGCCCAAGCACTTCCACTTTTCCACTGTGCCATCCTGGTCTCAGCCACTCCCACTCCCATCCCCATTATTGCGACAGTCTTCCAACTGGTCTCCTTGCTTCCGCTCTCCTGCCCTCAGTCTGTTCAAGGCACAGTAGCCAGAGCGATCGTTTCTTAAGACCCGAGGCAGCATGTGTCACTCATCTGCCCCAAACCCTCTGGCTTTTACTTGGAGAAAAGCTGGGCACCAAAGACCTTATGGTGGCCTCTAAGGCCCTCGTGAGCCCCCAGACTCCCAGCCCTTGTCTCCCGCTGCTCTTTCCCTTGTTCCTTGCGATCCTGCCCGGCTCGCCTCCCTGCTCTTCTCTGCTGGTACCAGGCATGCTCCTGCTTCAGGGCCGCCGCATGATGAGCTGTCCCCTCTGCCAGATCCCCCCTCGCTGGGCAGGGCTCACTCCTGCAGGTCTTTAAAGTGCTAGCATCCCCCGTGCAGTGAGGGGACCCTGGCTCTCTCGATGTCCCTCATCCTGCCCAACCATTTCCCTCGATAGCTCTTCCCACCTCAGCACGGATGTCTTCATGGATGGTTTGTCTGACCCCCTCCACAGGGGCAGGATATTTTTGTCTGTGTCCCTCAGCCTGTAGCAGAGCCCGGCGCACTGCACACGTGCAGATTTGCTGAATGAACTGAATGAACGAGCGGTAAATAAGATTGCTAACACTCAGCGCTCATTACGTGCCAGATGCTTCCCCGGGCACATTCATGCTTCTCATTCAAACAGCACAACACCCTCTGTGGGGGCTGCTCTTCACCCCATTTTACATGTAAGCAAACTAAGGCCCGGTGAGGGTATGGCTGCGTGAGCCGGTAAGTGCCAGAGTCTATATATATGTACTCCCTGCAGGAGACAGCTGGATGCCAACCCACGCACAGAGGGGGCTGGGCGTCAAGGCAGCTACACTCGGCTGAGGCTTCACTCTAGTGTGACCAACTTGTCTCGGTCTCCCTGGGACTTGGCAGGGTTTAGCACTGAAGTCCCTGCCTCCTGGGACTCCCCCTTGGTCTCAGGCAAACAGGCTTGGACTGAGATGAAGTTGGCCACCCTCCTTCCCTTCCCACGGGGTGGGCCATGTGTGCTGCTTTCCTCTGTACCTTGAAGCCAGCACTGTTCCCACCGTCTGCAACTGGGATGAATTAGTCCTGTCCTTTTCCTGTCCTCAGGGATGATGACATCACCGTTAGGTTCATCTGAGTCCAATCTATGAATTTTGCATTCAATTAAAGGTTCCTTATGGCCTTTTTTGGGCCCAAGCAAAGGGAGCAAGATACATTATGGAAAACATAAAAGGTCAGGCCTTGCTCTTGCCTAGATGCCCTTAAAGTCACTCACTCGCTTCCTGTTTGCCATTTCCTACTCATCTATATCTGCTCCACCTTAAGGCAGCCCGCGCTGGGATAACTGCTACCTTAAGAAGTCAAGTTGCTGCCCCAGCGCCCAGCTGCAGCCCAGCAGGGCGGGGCTGTGAGCTGCGGTGGCCTAGGGAATCCTCTCTGACATGTGGCTGGGCGGGAAAGCCGTGTGGGACCGGGAGCTGGGCCAGTCCCCAATTTGGGGCTTTCCATTCCAATTCTTTCTGCCCTAGCGTGGCTTTCAGGCCCTCCTCTCAGCAGCTGTCATGTCACACAGACTGGTCCAGTCCAGGAAA